CATAGGGTAGCTCTATTTTTAACTTTTTGAGGAACCTCCACACTGTTTTCCAGAGTGGCTGTACCAACTTGCGTTCCCACCAACAGTGTAAGAGGGTTCCCCTTTCTCCACATCCTCTCCAACATTTGTTGTGTCTTGCCTTGTAAATTTTTGCCATTCTAACTGGTATAAGGTGGTATCTCGATGTGGTTTTGATTTGAATTTCCCTGATGGCTAAAGATGTTGAGCATTTTTTCATGTGTCTGTTAGCCATTCACATGTCTTCTTTGGAGAAGTGTTTGTTCATGTCTTCTGCCCATTTTTTGACTTGATTATTTGTTTTTTGGGTGTTGAGTTTGAACTACACTCAGAGGAAGGTCACTTGGGGCCAAAGCCACTACATCTCTGCTGCTGTTGTGGAAACAGTTGCCAAGGTAGAACATCAACTTCAGAGTCGGGCAGACCTAGGTTCCAGCCCCAGCCCTGCCGCTCTCTGCAGTAAGTTAATTTCCAACAAATTATTTAACATCTCTGAACTGGAGTTGCTTCTCCTGTAAGATGAAAAAGTTAACTTTCATCTTGCAAGACTGCTATGAGGATCAGCACATAGCACTGTGCCTGACACCTAGTTGGTATTTAATGACTGCTCTTATATGACAAATGACAATGCTAATGATGACGACAATGGTGGACATGGGCGGTGGTCCCTCCTTATGTGGCCCCTTTCAGGGTTTCATGAAGCAGCAAAGTTACTACCATCTGATGACAGGTTTTTCAGGCGGCCTTGAACGGCTTGGTCGCTCAGTAATAATTGCTTTTTAGAACTCTCAAAGCTGGCCCTACTTGTGAAGTTGAATAGACTCGTCTAACAAGGAACTTGCTAAAGCACCCTACCCACCCACCCAGAGACTGATCCAGAGCATGATCAAGAGACAACCTCCCCCCACCCCCCATCTGCAATGCTTTGCAAATGGGGCTCTTTGTGGCCTGTCCTGAGATCCTAGAGCAGCCAAGATGGGCTACTTCACACTCCATTGTGGCCCTTACCGTGTGGTCCCAGGTCAACCAGAACTTTGGCCTGGGCCCCCGGCCAGCTGTATAACCTTGTGGCTGCCAGAGATGCATATTAGATAGAAAGCCACATTCTGAGACGCTCTGCATCTTTGAGCTAAGGGGACCCATACGTGGTGTGTCACCTTTCCCAAGGATTATCCCAAGCCTAGGGTGTTCATGAGAAGTGATTTGCAGGTCTCATCCCAGGCAGCTCTAAGAATTAACAATCTCATAGCAGTCTGAGCAAGAATCTGACCCCTCTCCTCTGCCTCCTACCCCAAGTCCTGGCGATTGGGTGGTAAGGTCAGAGAATCATCCTAACGTGGCAAGAAACCTCCCTTGTTCTCAGACTCCCTCCTAGGACATCCCAGTCAACTCTATGGGGCCCCTCCTTTGCCCTCCAAAGCATTAATTTGACACTTAGGACATACATTCACTACATTAACAGCTGACTAGCACCGCATTATCTTTCCCCAACTAGAGTATAAGCTGCTGGGACCAGAGAGCCTTCTTACACTCTTCCTGTCCCTGCACACCTGCCATAGCACCTGGAGATGAATCAGAGCTTAGAAATATTTCCGGGGCTGCTCCATTGAGGGCACAGAGCTCAGGCTACAGACCCTGCCTCCCACGGCCCAAAAGAGCAAATACTGTGGTGAGTGGAATGATGGGAGGCCAAGACGTCTCTCAGGGCGAGTCAGCTGACAGATAGGAACACGCCAGCCCACCGTGGCCTGTGTGTTTTTCCAGGTTTCAGAGACAGGACGTGTCCTGTGCCCGACCAGCAGGACACGACCGTCCCTGAAACAGCTAAGCCCCCGCAAGTCTGCTGCTCCGAAAGTTGGTGCTAGCCCGCCTGCGACGTCAGGCCTGCCGGGGTGAGGTCTCAGGTTACACCCCCTCTCCAGCTCCTCAGCTTTGGATGGGAGCTGCCTTAGGACAGGGCCGTTACCACCACCCCATTAGTGCAGGAAATATTTGCCAGAGAGCGTCACTGTCCAGGAGGAGAATGACAACTGAAGATCTACATTTCATTTGTTCCATTACTGTTCTAGCTTAGATAGATTCCTTAATCCTCCCTCCTTCCCAGTCGGCTCAAAGACCTGCAGACTTTCCACACACTCCGTGTCCCTTTTAAGATTAGAAATTGACCCAACAATAATGTCTCCTTGCAATATCCTTGCAAACGCGTGCCCCAGTATGCACTGCCTGGTGTGTTTGCAGGTCAGCACTGGGAGGCAGGACAAGGAGATGGTTTGGTTTGGATTAAGAGTGGGAATAGCTGCAACAGCTAACATTGTACTAAATATCTGACAAATACCGTAGCCTCAGAACCGCCATAGGAGGTGGGAATGCCACTTAGCCCCATTTTCAGATGAGTAAACAGAAGCTTAGGGGCATTAAGAAACTTCTGAAGTCACCCAACTGGGAAGTGGTGAGACCAGAATTCAAATTCAAGAATGTCTGGCACCAAAGCACAAGCCCTTGACACTCACAGTCCACTTCCGTCCACAAGCCTATGATAAACCGGTGGCTACGCTCCACGCAGGAAACATGGTGACGATCAAGATACCAACTTGATCCCCACGTTTTCAACGTAGCCAGGGAAACAAATCTTAACGTATTTTTAAATTCTGTATTACAATGTGATATTTGTAATAATACACAAATACATATAGGAGTGGTTCAAAGGCTGTTAATTCATCCTGTCTACAAGGGAAGAGGAGAGATTAGGGAAAGCTTCACCAAAGGACCCTCCAAAAAATGGAACTTTCTTTATCTATGGTTCAGCTTCCTTTCTACTTTGAACGTGTAATCTTTAGCCAGCATTCATCCACACCGGCATCCCTCAACTGCACCATCCATCATCTGGGCAAGACCCAGGCAAAAGGCGCCCCTTCTCTGAGCCCTTGCTTCCCTGGGTCTCATATATCACTGACGCAGAATATGTTCATGTCTGAAAGAACACAAGAGTGCTTCTGTCACTCAGGATCCTGAGCTCCGCATGGCCATAGCACAGCCCATAACCCTAAACATCCACTCTCATGAGTAACGCCATTCAGGCCTCAGGGAAACCCTTCTCCACATCTCTTGCCGTGGGTCTAAGAATCAAAAGGAAAATGTGCCCAAATGCCAGGGTTTGTGGCTTGTGCTGAGGCCAGCATTGGAGATGGACTCCTCCCTTCAGAGGGTGGGCAAGGTTTGAGCAGTGGATGCATAGATAAGAGTAAAGGCAAATTAATTATTATATTCTTCCTCTCTGATATGAACACAACAGATTCGTGCACAGTGAAATATCTTTTCCTAGTAGTGCTATTTCTTCTATGTTCTAATGTGTGGTTCTAAAGACACTCAAAAGTTAATGGAGTATTCACAACAGTTACGCATGATGGCTAGAGAATATTTTGCAAGAGTGAACAAATCATATTTCAAATTTGTATATTTGCAGACCTACCCATAACATACTGGAAGCATGATACTAATTCTTTATGTTGACCGCAGGCAGACGCTGAAAGCTAAAATTATAGTTTTATTTTTACAAAAGTATTTTTAAAGATTTAACTACATTTTCAAAAGGTTATATAACAGTTTTTATCTAAATGTTGATTTTTTTTAAGTTGATATGAATTTATTATCAGTTATACTTTGTCTTTTAATTTCAGTAGATTGTTTTGCATATTTATTTGCATAAATATTTAGTCACTTGAAAACATTAGTTGGGTTCACTCCCCATTCCAGCCACACTCTTATCTCCCATGGGATCCTTCCCGGGCCAGCAAACAGTGAGTTGGCCAGTGTGGTCTCATCATCAGCCCTGGTTCAGCAGGAAGCATGTAAAAGGTTTCCTGGCTAAGGCAGGAGAGGCTTCAGTTGCAAGCTAGTTTGATTGCTGCTATATATACTACTCAGTTTCTCACTCTGTCTTGCTTTGACCTTGAACTTCTAACTGTCTCCTGGTACCTAATTATTCACCTGGCTTCCTGGTCTACCTCTACTGATAGCTTCAGCCACTGTCCTCCTGAGCTAGGTCCTCATCAATCTGCTTTGGTGATCACAATCCCTGCTCCCTTCCCAGCAAGTACCCCCTGACATCCATTTGCCTGACCTGATGCAGTTCACTAATACTAACACATCCTTTAAAGGTAAGGCCTCTTTTTCTCCCCCAAGAATATTCAGAGGATGGGCTTCTTCATCACTCATTTCATGTAAATCATTTTACAAACTATCCTGATTCTTGTCTCACCTTGCCCCCCTTTCAGGGTGAGTCATATAAATCACTGAACCTAGAAAGGAGAGCAGCCAGTTCATCACACTCTTTTTATAATTGGGGAAACTGAGGTACAAAGACAGGAAATGACTTGCCCATGATCACACATCAAGAAACTGAGACCAGCAGTTCTCCAGTCTCCTTGGCTGGCATCCATTTTCTTGTTCCACACCACATTTTTGGGTAAGTGTGTGGCATTCCAACAGCACCCCACCGCACCCCAATAAGTCTCCCTGTGACATCCCAAAGGATAGTTATTGTGAATTGTGGGAGCCAGGAATTTGATGGTGAGTGAGTGAAGGAAAAGCAAGAGAGGTCATTTCGTAAATGACATAATGGCAGTCTCCAAAGTTGAACTGCAGGTATTCCGCCACCCTGAGAGTCTGCATGCCTGCCTGGAGACTAAACATTTTCACAGTTCCTTTGGCCCAAGGGTTATTTTCTTGTTGGAAAAAATGGAAAATCCTCCTTACAGATGGCAAGAAAAATAACTTCAGCTGAACTAATCCAGAGACAAAGATTCTTCTGAAACTAGAGAAGGATAGGGGAGTGAGGAGGAGCAAATATTTACTTTAACTACATACAGAATGTTTCCTCTGGGTTTCTTTTTATTTGCTCATGCCCAGAAACCCCCAACTAGCTCATTAGAGAGAGGCTGGGTCGTGTAGGTCATAGGAAGAGCTGGGTGGTTCTAAGCCTGCAGGAGCCCAGGCTCACAGGGATCCCTTGCCTGGCCAAGACTGTTAGGAGCTGCACTACATAGACCTTGGCTGAGAAGAAGACTATCTTTCACCCAGAGAAACCTCCCTTCACCCAGATGAGCCCCTCCCTAAAGATGGGATTGTCACCAGTCTAAGACCCTATTTGTTACTTGTCTTCAAAATGTACTTCTTCTTAATAAAAAAACTGCCTTTGACACTGAAAAATTCAGTTGTTACAAGGCATTGCTTGATATCAGAATAATTTATGTCCATTTCATTGATTTCATAATCTATTAATTTCTTATCTGATTTTCTCTCAGTTATTTAGCTAAAGAAAAACTAGTTTCTTTAAGGAAAAAAATCCCAGTTTTAGTATCTATATTTTAAATATCGCATCTATGAGACGGACCTGAAAAGAAAAAATGTAACTGTTGGGAAACACTTTTTCAGTGTTTATCTGAACACTGAAACACTGAACACTGTTATATTGATAACTTTCAGAAGTTATCAATAACTTCAGGTATCATGGAAGAGAGATTTCTCCTGTGAGAGGGAGGAAATCAGCGGCACCTGGCACCTATTCTGAGAGCCCTTAATGCTTTTACCACACACTTGTAGCTGCACTGTCAGGTGACTGAGAATGTTGTTAAGAGGGGGTGACCATCTTCTAGAACTTGTGTCACAAAGAAACGGTTTTCACTTGCCAAAATGTTTGGAAATGACCTGGAAGGGTCCATGCAAGTGACCGGCCTAACTGTCACCAGCTTCACAGTAAATCCACCCTGTCAACCAGAAAAGGGGGTTGGCCCAGCCTCCCAAGGGTCATTTCACTTCTACCTCAAGATACCTACCTCAGCCCATGCGCCTGGGCAAAGCCTGGTAAACAGGGGTCACATCCTGATTGTGTATATGAGTGGAGCATGGGGGGAAGAGGAACAGACTCAGGACCATGTCCCATCTGATTGGATGATACTTTACAGATCTGAAATAAAAGTGTATTAACAATACTATTAATACTTCTAAAAAATAGTATTAATAATACTAGCCTTACCTATCTCTCAGTGGTGAGGATCAATTTGTGTAAGATCTGGAAAAGTACTTTATAAACTATAAAGCACTTCCTGAAAGCATATATATTGTTGATGCCATCATGTGTTCACTAAATGTTTACTGAGTACCTCCTATAAGCTAGGCTCTACTCTAGCACCAGAGATAAAGCATTAAACAAATATTATTATCTTTTTAATATATAAAATTGATTCTCTTTCTGGTCTTTAAGCTGAATGGTTCTTTGATGTGATGATCAGTCTCCAAGATGGCCCCCAATGATCCTTGCCTCTGTTATGGGATGTTGTCCCAACCACATTGAATCTGACCTATGTGACCAATGGAATATGGTAGAAGTGACAGTCTGTGACTTCCAAGATTAGGTCATAAAATAAATTACTGCTTCCTCCTTGGTCTCTTAGATGACTTGCTCTGAAGGAAGCCAGCCACCATGTCATAGGGACATTTATGGAGCCATGGAGAGGCTTGTGGGAATAAATGTGGTGTTCTCTCAGAATCTAGCACCAAACTTTGGAAGTAAATTTTTAGCACCAGACAAGCCTTCAGATAACTGCAGTCCAGTTGACATCTTAGCCACAAGCTGATGAGATCTTAGGTACAAGCTGACGAGTTAACAAACCATAGTTACCCAGCTAGACCACTTCTTAATATCTGACCCTTAGAAACTGTGACAGATAAGTATTTATTCTTGTTTTAAGCTATTATATTCTTGTTTTAAGCCATTATATTTTGAGGTAATTGTTATGCAGCAATATCTAACTCATACATTCATCAAATAATTCTTCTAAAAGGGTAAACGAAGAGAACTCCACATTTGATCTTGTATCACTACAAACTGATATTTGTTGCCTCTCAATTGTCATTTGTTTGAGGAACCTTGTTCTCATAGCACCACCCATGTAGCCTGAGCCTGTGTCGCATAAAGAATTATTTGTTGGCTGCTGAATTACTGATTTTTAAAACTGCTGAGCACAGCTATGGCTTATAGGGCAGGGGATAGATCACACAAGAGAGATGGTTGGCCAAGGCAGGTCCACCAAGGCAGGGAAGGTGTTCAAGGATAGTCTCGGTGATAAGTAATCCTGGAAGTCCAGAGAGGTGGGCTGGCCTAAGGGTAGTTTAAGGGTAACCAGAGGACATCCTGGTGGCTCACCAGAACACAACATTCAGGCAGATCCAGGCTGGAGAGTCTGGATTAAAGGGAGGAAAGTATTGGACAAGTATAATTTGAAGGAAGGGCAAAGGACAGGTACAAAGACTCCAGGCCAAGACTTCAGACCAAGACTTTGAGGTAGGGTGTGGGGGGCTAGATAGAGGAACCCAGTCAGAGACTTAGGGAATGAAGGTAGAAATGGTAAGCCAGTCAGAAGCCCACACCTGGAGCTCAGGTCCAGGTAGAGCTGAGGAGTGTAGCAAGGTTACGAAAGGAACAGCTACCAAGCTGACACAGTACCGATCCACAGAACTACAGCTCCAGATCCCTGCCATTCTCCCTATCTAAGATCTATCTTGATCCCAGAATGTAGTACAGTGTTCAGAGGAGACGGTTAAAGAGGCTCCTGTCAGGTGAAGTGAAGAGAGAAGAGTAGGCAGACATCAGATTCATCTGCAGTTTGGGAGAGGGCTCTGGCTGATGTATATTTCTAGATCTCTTTCCTCAGAGTAGAGACAGTGAAGGAGACATAAAGCAAACCATGAGTTGAAATGCTTATTTCAACCTCTGATCCTCCATCAAAACTGTTTGGGTTTTGTTGTTGTTGTTGTTGTTGTTGTTGTTGTTGTTACTGGTTGGTGGACAAGTGGATTCTTAGGCTTTCTCTGTGTTGCCTTCTCCCTGGTCACTTTGGGATGGAGGGTCAGGTAGATAGATGGATTCAAACATTTAGAGAGTAGAGTGTAGGCAGCAAGCTGGCTAAGAAAAGCACATAGGCATGAAGGTGAGTTCCATAGATTCTCAAGGGACCAGAGTGAATGTACAGCTTCTGGCCCCTGAGGATCAGCACTCTCTTCTGGGGAATGAACCAGCTACTGAGTGTCATGGGCACCCTAGCACACCATCTCCCTTCACAGATCTGGTCCTGACTTCAGCCCAGCTTCTTCCCCTAACTCTCCCTCACCTGTCTGCTCCTTCTCCTCTTCTACCTCAGCCACCTTTTGGATTTAACACCTGTTATGGTACCCTTGGTTTTGGCTCTGACTTCCTCCCACTATGATTCTTCATCCTCAACCTGACAAAACATCCTTGAGCTGCTGCCCTAAGGAACACCCTTCCCCCTCACCTGGCACTTGGACCTTCTTAGCCAGACCATCTTGCCTTCCTGCTAGTAGAGCTCCCACCATATTCACTTTGCTTATTTCATCCTCTGATCCTCCATCAAAACTGGCTGAATTCACCATGATTTGGGATAGGGGGCTGTAATACAGTCCTTCCATATCAAAATCAAAGGGGAAGCTGTCTCTCTTTAACCATACCTTCACGGTTTTCCCTTTTGTAGACCCTGGACTTCTGGAGCAATAGACAATGTCCCCAAAACAATGAAAATCTAGTGATGACACCAGATTGTGAGACTCTGGTGGGGAACCAAGGCAGGAAACTTCACTGACAAAAGAAAGACTGAGTGCAGGAGCTCTGGAGATAAACGAATGGAAACAAAATGCAGAGTAGTCAAAGTAAGGTCCTCACTTCCCCAAATATCCTTGCTTTCTCCTAAAGCTGGATACTCTAACCACAAATATCACAATGTGAGATGACAAGCTCAAATCCAAATTCCCTCCTAACACTGCAGAGACTACCTGTGGTTTTGTAGCATCTCCTAGTTTTTCAAATATATCAAAGACACAAATTTTCCAGGCACTCATCCCAAAAGTAAACTCTCCAAAAAAAGTTTATCACCCAAAGATTATGCAGATTGATGCTGAGCTCTTCCATGTCAACCTCTGCCATCTCTCACCCTCAACACACAATGTTCAGGTCCAGGAGAGTTTTTCTATAGCAATTTCTCTATACAATGTTCACCATTGTTAGCTTAACTGACATGAATTTTTGTTCCTTGCTTGAGCTATAAGAACTGTTACTACTGAAATGTTTCTGAATTCCATCAAATCAGGCTCCAATTCCTGATTAAGCCAACCTCAGTGCAAAGTCCCATGTTGGTCATATTTTGTGGCTCCCTTGCCCCTTCCCCAGGGCTTTCATGACCCATGAGAAAATAGAAGCAAGTCCTCTCTAGTCGTGGTCTATCACGGTCAGTTAGGATCACTGGCCCAAGCTTGTAGGATCCATTCAAAGGATGGCTGCTCCACAAACATATCCATGACCACCATGCCAAGCTCAGCCTTGGGACAGAAGCCAAAGCTCCCTAGGTATGGTGTTTGGGCCATGGTCCTTAAGCATCCACCAGCCCATTCTGGTTCCTGCCACCCTCAGGAATGAAGGTCTTCCATCCTCTTCCCCACCCAAGCCCCAAGCCTGATCCTGTCTCCTCAAGGACAATCAAGCCTTCCTCCTAGCTGGGCCCATATCTTCCAAAAAAGCCCCAAGGCTTGATGCTTTTCCTCTTGATCTTTCAATCACACACACAAAAAGCTGTCCATTACCAGCCCTCCACCCCATACCCCAAGACAAGTTGTGCAGGACTCAAGAACAGGAAGGCTGGTACCCTACACAGTGAGGTTCAGGGGTTGGCGGGATTAACTTTGTTCTTCTGCTGATGAGCCTGTAGCAACAGAAAGGACAAGATCCTCATTTTTCAATAACTTCATGGTTAATTTATCATCACCTTTCATGTTCTTGATTCTAAAATAATCTATCTCTTTAAAGGAGAAGATCCAGTGTAATAGGACTCACCCATGACCAGGCACACAACAGGGGGCTCAATGCAACTTTACCTATGAGGATTGAAAGATTGTGTGAAGTCCCGCCTTGCTTTTTTCAGCTCACTGAGACCAGGCTCATTCCAATTTCAAGAACTCAGGTAAGGCTCCAGAAAAACTACACTCAGGGACTGGCTTAGTAAATATACCTTACTAAGAATTTGTCTATTTTGTTTGTTGAGACAATTTGTTGTGTGTTTGTCAGACACTAAGGAAGATTAAAAGAAGATGACATGGCCCCTACCCCCAAAGACTGTGATCTTCTGATTGGGAAGGTATGCACCCATGAGAATGATGAAGCTTAATAATTGTAGAAAATAACAATGAAAGTAAGGTCACAAGACAAATTGACACATCTCGTTGGTTTCTTGCAGCAATCCTGAATGGTGTGTTATGACCTCCCATTTTGTAGATGAGGAAACTGAGACTCAGAAAAGGGATCCTGTCCTCCCATAAACCATGCTTCTGGCGGTGGAAACTAACATGGGACCAGAGAAGCTGTTAGAGCCCCCACCACCCCCACCCCTCGCCAGCTTGCTCCCCATCCGCCCGCCCTGACCTGCAAACGTCCCAGCACATACACACACAACCTGCCTCTACCTTGTGGTGCAACTGACTCTGCAACAGTCTATGAAAGTTTTATTGTTCCTTCTTTTAGAAAGTTGCTGGATCTCCCCAGCACTTGTAAATAATATGGCGCTGCATCCCTGCCCCCAATCCGTCCCCAACTGCAGGCACCCAGAGAAACTGAAGAAACATGGTCAGGGGATTCTGAGATCACAGACCTCCACCTGTAGGTTGATGACATACTGTCCCATCTGCTACCACCTGTCAGAAAGAATATTCCCATGATTTCTTCTCCTCCCCAGGCTCAAGCTCATGTCCTGCCCACTGACAAGAACTCAGTCTAGATATTACCTTCTCCTTCAATCCTTCCTCAGTTTCCTCCATCTGTATATGAGCTCACCAGTCTCTGAAACCCCAGAGTTTCACCTGGATCATTTGAAGGCATGCTTCACCATCTGCTGCTTCTTACAGTCATTTGTGGATCACCTGCCTTAGGGGATTGAAGTCAGAGCTCTGAATCTGTGTCCCACCTCTGCCACATATGACCAGTGCATAATCGGGAAACTGAGCTAAAAGAAGTTCATCCATAAAATGGGGTTTCTTGAGGATGAAATGAGATCATCAGGAGGAAAACATTTTGTAAATGATAATAGGCTTTACCTGTGTGCTTAACTACTCTCTGCCCGAGCTTGCATATTCATAAAAATGAGGAGTAGGAATAGTGTCTCCCTCTTGGATTTGCAGCAAGGATTAAATGGGCTCATGTCTGTAAAGCAAACTGAGCACAGTTCCCTGCCTCCGTCTCTGTTCCACACATGATATGAGCAGAGCTGGAACCATAGACCCGGCATAGACCACCTCACTCTGACCACGAGGTTATGCAGGATTCAGGACACCTTTGCAAACACTCCTCCACATGGGTGACTTTTGGCATCTGGGCAGGAATTCCAATGCTCTGCAATAATAATCATCATCGTAAACAGTTGGTGGTCCCTGTATCTAGGAAATTAGTTTTTAGGGGCCAGGTCTGGCTGTGATAGAAGACTCCTCCCCCCACTCCCCCATCTCTGCCCCAAACCAAAGAGAGACTGCAGAGCATGTGTGTCTATAAAACCACAGCTGATCCTCAAAGCAAGATGAAAGGGCCACCATCCTGAGTGGCTGGCCGCTGCGTCAGAGCCAGAAAGTCTCCCTCAAATGGGAGTTCGGAGAGCCTTAGTCCTCCATGAGCATTGTTATCTCTGAAGTGCTTCAGTTCAAATTTGGTAAAGAAAATGAATAAATCAGTTTAGACTTTGGGTCAAGGATCGGTATATGAGAAGGAAAAGAAATCATAGACTATCAGAGCTGGAAGGAGACAGTTTGGACCATGGTCCTTGCTGAGACCCTCCAAGCCAAGCCCCTCCCCCTTCCTCAGCAGCACTCCCTCTTTTCGGGGGAGGGGGTGGTCCACAGCCCTTTAGCACCCTGTGTCCCTAACCCTCTCCACAGCTGATATGACCAAGAGTGGGCCAAGCCAGGCCAGTCGGATACTCGTCCTGGAACTCTGGAGTTGGAAATCAGATACACTGGTAAGTTTCCTTTGGGACCTTCACCAAGGAAGACTCACTTCCATGGATAGAACACAGAGTGGGAGCCAGACAAGAGAGCAGAGTATGGGGAACTTGCACCTCATTCTAGAGAGAAACAACTCAGGGAGGTGGCCCTGTGCGAGGAAGATTGCAAAAATCACTCCCCAAAGACACTGAGCTTCTTTTGCCTCATTGCTTTAGTTAATTAACACAGTGTCTTGCATGTAGTTGCTGCTGAATAAAAGTTTGCTGACACTTGAATTAATCATCAAAAACAGGTGGAAACCTAATCACAGTGTAGATTTTGGGTAGAAACAAATAGACACTGAGCTGTTCAAAATCAGGAGCCAGATTTACATGAAGTTCAAAACCAGGAAATAATTAGGATATTGGTTACCCTTAGAGAGATAGTATATGGAAGGAGCACAGGGGCTTCTGGAATGTTCTGATTCCCAATCTGGATGCTGGTTACACAGGTCTGTTGAGTTTGTGAGAATTCAGTGAGCTGTATGTTTATGATATATGCACATCTCAGTATGTATGGTACATGTCAATAAAAAATTTAAAAAATAAAACAAATAAGGGTCAGGTCTTGACTTGCCCCCAGAGCCTACCTGATACAGTTCTGGCAGGACTTCAAGGAGCCACCTCCCTAGCATTTCATACAAGTGATATCTGGTTAAAATGACTAACCTAAGTGGTCTGGAAGGGCATAGGAATCAGAAGTCCAAGTCACAGAAGAGCAGTCTTGTTTTGAGAAGAGTTTGGGGTAGAGAAGAGATCATTGCTAAACAGTCAACCCCAAATGGTGTGATAACAATATGTTTGGGCTAATGTTTTATACACAGACCAACAAACACACATAGGTGTGTGAGCATATATGTTCACGTGCCTTGGACCTTTTGATAAATTCAAAATAATTATAAAAGTAGTACTTATTGAATCTTTCTACATGGTAGGCACTTGTGGTTTACATTCATTAAATAGCTCAATTATCACAACAATCTGATGAAGTGAGTATCATTATGTATCCTCATTTTTCAGATGAGGAGACTGAGGCACAGAGAGGTTTTAGTGACTTGATTAACGTCAAAAGCTAGTAAGTGGCAAAATCAGGTTGGTCTAATTCCAAATATTTTTTTAAAAGAATAATTCCGAGCTCCCAAAAAGGTATAAACAGAGGTTTGTACACTTGACTTCTCCATGTAAAATATAAGAAATACTCAGTTTCCTTTATCAGTGGTTTATACTGAAGGCACATCTGAGAGCAAGACCAGTGAGCTTGTTTGTTTCAGGGGGTAAATAGGAAATCATTAATTTGCTGGTCATTTTTCCCTATGTGAAAGTTGGAAGGGAAGCAACAGACACAGTAATTCTGTTCTCACACTTACTCCTCCTAACAATTTTATGAGGTGGGTATTTTTGTCTCTGGTTTGCAGGAGAAACTGAGGCTGGGAGAGATTAAGGACCTTCATCCCTATTCAGACTCTTACCTGGGTGACTCCAAAGCCCAAGAAGGCATTTTTCCCCCAAACATGGCGGTCTACATCCTTGTGTTGACCTCTTAACTGGACCACCTAGGCTGTTGGGTTGGACAGGAGGGCTCGTGTGTGGCCTGGCCTTGCACTAGATCAGGTGTGCTCAGTGACTGGACTCTTCTTGGCTTTATTTGTCTCTAGCAATACCAGGGCACCCAGGCCCACTGGCTCAGCAAGCACCAAGAAGAAATGATCATGCCAAGGAGCAAACCCACCATGGGTTCCCTGGAATGGAGGGACCCAGAGAGCCACCACCAGCACTCATGCCTTGGAAGCATTTGGTGGATGACTGAGAAGAGAAGGACATGGGCAACAGCTTCACCGCTAACCACACACCTGGGAGAAGCACATCCTTCACAGCCATGAGCTCACCATCCTTTGCTCAGACGTCAAGGCTGACAGAGAGTCAGCAGAGGTAAAAACAAACTACGGGGAGCTTGACTTTCTCTCTTAGCTGAGAAGATACTGGCTGTGGGCTTTCCTGTTGCTGTTAATGATGTGTAACTGCAAGATCTTGGGACTGCACTTTTTTAATGCACATGTGGAATATTCGTTCACTCGATAAACATACATTGCGGGCCTATTCCCAGCAAATATTAGGAGGCATAATGCAGTCTAGCAGTCAAGGAAGGGAATTTTGGTGCCTGTCTGAAATGGGTTCAAGCTCTAGCCTTGTTCAGGCCTGGATTAGGGAGAGTCTGTTGCTAAAACTACTTGTCTTATTACTCAGTGGAAGTCCTAAGCTGGGTGCTTGGGGGAGAGGGATAGTACTCAAGGAGCGTTCCTGCTAGGAGAGGCATTAAGACAAGTACACAAATAGCCCACGATTGTGAAATAGGAAACATGCAGAATATGACGAGTAACCTAATAGGCAATTTAGAATTATAAGCACTCTTTCAAAACTGTTCCTTGAGGAGGCCTCAAATTTACATATAAAGCATTGTTGCTGATGGTTAAAGGAGCTTTTTAACATTCATTGATTTATCATTATTATAAAAGTTAAACATACTTGTTTTTTGCTTTTTTTAAGTAATCTCTACCCCCACCATGGGGCTCGACTTCACGACCCTGAGATCAAGAATGACATGCTCTACCAACTGAGCCAGGCAGGCGCCCCCATATTCATTTTTTAAACTTTGGAAAGTACAGAAAGTATTTCAGAAATGTCTCATAATCCCATCATCCAAGAAACTATAGTCAGTAGTGTGCATATGTTCTTTTATTTGAATCTTTTCCAGAAGTATTTTCGAGCTCCACGTTTGGCGCCTCTATTCCCTTAGGCTCTGTAGCACATTCTTTTGGCTTTGCCTAGTGAGACGGATCTTGATCCTTTGAAGGTAGGTTGCATTTTGGAAACATTCCTAAGTCATCAAGAACCAGGTGCGGCAAATTTGATGTGATCAAGCCGAGGGCATGTTGCTTTGGGTCCAAACACAAGATGATAGAGTAATGAAACTAATTTTACTGGGGGGCTTGTAAAATAGTACTAATGGGAGTTCCAGTGAATTGCTTGAAATTTGAGTTTGCCACAAGCAGCGACTTAGAAATAAAAGATCTTGAGGAAGGTCAGAATGCTGGGTTGTTCATTTTTAATTTCTGGTGCCCAGTGTAATGCCTGACAAATAACAGGCACTTAAAAACAGTTAGGTGCCCTGAAGGAGATGGACCACTTTATTTTTTAATTGATTGTTAATTGCTGTGTGGCTTCGGCTCCCATTCCTTCTTCTAAGACCCTCAGGCGATTATAAACCCTCCAGAATTTTCCATAATATACTCAAGAATATATATATTTTGAAAGAATGGTAAAGGGAAAATAAGAGATTGTTAACACTTTAATTATATAATTCATAAAAATATTCCACTTATAAAAATGAAACCTTAAGTATATGGCTATACTTTTGACCACCATTTTCAATCCTATCCCCCCCAACTCCTCAGAGGAAATGAATTCAGTTAACAGATTGATAGGCAACTTTCCAATTATTCTATGTTTGTATATGTACCCATATATATTATACATATATATTATATAAAGTATACCTATCATTTTTTACTAAATTGTATCACTGTATGTATGATTCACTGCTTACATTTTTCAGCCAAATAACTTAAAACTGACCACTTTACAGGGGACAAAACCCATTTAAATATTTAAGTTCTGGTTCATTTCCTTTGGAAATAAGCTCCTGACTTCATAACCAAGCCTTCCATGGCATTTGGGAGAATTTAGAGGAGGCTGAGACGTCAGCAGATGCACATAAGAACTTCCCCACGGGCTAGCCCTAGAATTTATCAGCACAGTCCTGCACATATGACAGGCCCTGAGGAATGTGGTGGATAACATGGGCTGATGTCAAACTCCAGGATTAGAGACCTCCTACAACTTTCTCATTGTCCTTCATGACCCATGATGCATCTGTCCTCCACAAACTTATCAGGCTCCTTGAGAACATATTTCTATTTCCAGCTTGCACCATCTTCAGGGGATAATGAATTCAATGAGTTATATCTGCAATGAGAAAGATGTTTGCATCCCCATCATCATCATCTGATATAGAGCATTGGCTGGACTTTGTCTCTCATCTTCACATATTTTCATGGATATCAAAAGAGGATTTTGCTTCAGGGAAATATGTGTTGAGAGCCTCTTGTTGCTTCTGTCCGGCATAAACAGTAGAGACAAAAAAACTGAAGATGAGAGCCAAGAGTAGAATCATTATAACTAAACTGGCTGCCATCGAGGTAGACAGATCTAGTGGTTTTCTCCAACCTCTTCCCAAGGCAGAAGTCACACATCTCGGCCAGGATCTGTAACAGCCCCACAGTTTGGGGGAGGAACAAGAAAAGGAACAGAGCTAGAAATGATCTGGCTCTTGCAAGAAAAGCCTCCCTTGGGTGGTATTTTAGGACATTAGCTCAGGCTGCCCTGTCCTCAGTCATCTTGCTAACATTTAAGTAGCCCCTTGGGTTACAGATCACGGCAGGTGCTGGGAAGGAAAGAAGGCCATGCTAAAAATAACCAGCCTCTTCTGGAACCCTGCCTCCAGCCGGGAACTCCTTCCTCAAGCAGCAGCACCTCAGAAAAAGAACAGAGTCTCCTCCACCTTGAGCAGTCAGAAAGGTCTGGTTCTTTCCTCCAGTGAAGTTATTGAGGTAGAAATGGTCCTCTGGAGAACATACACTCAAAGAAGCATTTCTACTGAGGAATAGCAATTTCTATTAAATCAGGAAAACAGGCTCTCTTAAGGAGAAACCAGGGTCCCAGCAGAAAGTGCTTGGGGAGAAGGATTTTGCTAGTCAGCCAAGAAAGGGTCTTTACAAAAACACCGAAGTTCACTGCTTCTTTTCAGTCACCTGGGCCTACCTGTAGGCCTCCAAACCAAATAATCTCAACTGAAAATTAAGCTGTTGGCCGTGAGTATGGCAAAGTCGCAGGAACAAAAGTTTTAGAAATCCCAAGTCGGAGCACACCTAACACAGCCGCCTTCCGAGAGCCTGGAGGAGTGACAGCTAGATGTCAACTAGAGCGGGGGGCTCTGGCTTACCCACCTCCACGGGCCCTTTTGCATCTGATTTCATGGTATGCAGGGTAAGAGTGGAGTTCTGCCCACCACTCGGGAAGCTGCAAAGGTCACTCTCACATATGTTCCTGTTAAGGACATCAGTGGAAACTTGAGAACCAAGTATAAAAATATAAAAATGAACAGGTGGCATCCAATACGAAAAGAATGTGGGGTTTGCTGGGAAGTGATGATTAAAACCATTCCAAAGCTGAAATGTGGCCCCTGAGGCTGGCTCAAGTCTCTGGACTACAAAGTCTGTGGACGCTTTCATTCAGCACAGCTGGAGTCTTGAGGAAGCACTAGCTGCTATCCTGACCACATATTATGTCTTCGTTTCCCCCCAGACATACTCCTTGGATTGATTGGTGGCTCGTTCCTTTGCCAACCCATGGGTTTTGAGAAAAGCAGGTGTAGATTTCTAGCCATCACCTCGAACTCTCCCCTGAAGCTACTAAGAACAAATTTAATGTGCCTGCCTTTCTCTCTTCATGAAGATGTCCTTCCTGTCCCATCTTGAGCCATCAATGTGAGAGGAGAGAAAGGTCTCCTGGGCCCAGGTTCTCCCAACAGCCCAGGGTGGGGTCTAGGGGCCGGGGCCGCAGTACGGAGCTGGGCCCATACAAGATAACACACCCTTTCGGTCCCAGCCTCACTACTGTCCCCTGTCAACCACGTTCATATGTAGAAATGACCTCTGGTGGCCCTCTGCTCTCTCCTCTTCACCTTGTAATGTGTTGTGGGCTGGGGCAGGGTTAATGGAAAGAGCACCATTGCTGGGAGCCGGGACATCCATGTTCTTGTCCCTGCACTGCCACCTCCCAGCTCAGTGATCCTGCACTGCCCTTGATATTCTAATCTGTAGAGTGGGAATAACAGTCCTCATCCTGATGCTGTCATAAGCTGCAAGGAGGAGATAATAAACATGAATAAACTGTACATACAGACGTTCTTGAGGCTGCTAAATTCCACAAGTCAGGCTCGAGCAATCCTTCACATAGTTGGTGCTGTTGTAAGAAGAGAAGATGTAAGGCAGGAAAAGCCATAGGCCTTTTTTTGTACTGGGAGAACCATTTTGCCTGTGCAAACCATCCAGGTAGCACCTACACTCGGGGGCCTCTCCGCAGAGTCGGGACCAGCCGTGAGTCACTCAACAATGAAGGAAGGAAGCATCCACAGGGCCTAAAGACTTTTCTCAGAGCTCCGAACCCTTCCCGGAAGCAGAGCCTATTTTCCTTGGGTCCTTGGTGGTGGTGGCATCCCAAGCCCATGAGAAAGAAAACTCCCCTGTGGATGAGGAAGACACGCTGTATCTTGCTCCATGAGATGCTGTATCTTGTTCCATGAGACAATGAGCCATGAGCATAATAACACGCTGCATTTCAAAACCCAATAGAAGAAGCAATTGTCTCTCGATTTAATTATAGATTCTTCACTTTCCCTTAATTGCTTGAGTCAGCACTGTTGATTCTGGGGCAGTCACCATACACAGAGCTATTGCTATGAAACAAGGTGTGACTATCAGGTAAATTGAGGTTTTGGTTTTTGCTTTATGTTTTTAGACAAACAAACCCTCATGTACATATTCAAGTAAGTGTTCCTGTTAAAGGTGTCCCCGGTAGCAAGCTTTGCTTATGTTAACTCTCTTTTCTAACCAAATATTGGGAAATGTCGTGTGGCAAGTAGGAGTGCTCTTATGGGGGTAAAGGGACAGTCTATTTAATATTAAAGCTCTCCGAGAAAACCTGAGATATGTGATCCTCATAGCTACAGGGGGCCCAGACAGCATTTGGGACAATGGTCATAACACTGTTGGAAATACACAAATAAATGACCCCCAGAGAGAGGGTTTTATCTGCAACATACATATTTTCCTGGAGGAAAAGATCCATGTCTCTAATCCACCTTCCCTGACCTCATAAACTCTAGTTAAATGCTTTGCACACCAAAGGTGTTCAATAAATATTTGAGGGATGTTTGTCCTACCCTATCACAATACTTATATTTATTATTCAGAAAATAAACCACGGAGTCCATATTTTCAATGGAAATAAATCTTTCACTCCTAGTTTTGTTATCTTTCCTTCCCAGTATTGTTTCTCCTACTTATTCATATGACTAACAGCCAATAAACCATCATTCAGCAAACATTTATTGAGAAATGACTGATACCAAGCCCTGGAGAAATCTGGAAATTCCACGGATGTTCTTAGTGTCCATACAGAAGCTCGGGGCCAAAGGTATTGTGCAGGCTTCTACACCAGCATGATTTGGTCAGCTTTTTACTTTCGAAGAACGCAGACTCTCTCATGTTACCCGAGGAAAGAAAGAGAGTTATTACAAGGACCCTTGGAACTGAAATATGATCACACTCTCCCAGTCTCTTTCTCTCCATGGTCTTTCTGTTTATCTTGATAAGTCTGTTCCATTCTTTCTCCATAACCAAATTTCTCTGCTTCCTCAAAACTTAGAGGATGCATGGCCTATTGCAGTGTATTAGTCAAGGAAAGCTAGTTATGCTTCAGTAACCCCCGACCTCAGTGGCCTATAATAGCAAAGGTTTATATCTCACTCTGGCTACATATCCACCAAGGGTTAGTTGGGGAGAGGGGGAATTCCTCTTATCATAGCTACTTGGGAACCCAGAATGCCAGAGCAGTGACAGTCTTGAAAAAGGAACATGAGGAGGCATGTGGTCTTAAAGTGTCCACCATATGTCACTTCTGCTCACATTTCCTTGGCCAAAACAAATCACTGACCACAACTAACTTAGCTGGGTGGGGATGTGTAATCCTACCAAGACTCTGATTGGAGAGAAAGCCCAAATATGCATAAATAGCCTTAATCACCCTCATTTAAGACATCTCTAGCCCAAGACTGCAAACCCCTTTTGTTTCAGCAGCCACAGCTAATGATTCACATTTTCCATGTTCCTTCATTCAAAGTGCAGTGAGAGAGAAGCTGAGTATCCCAGTCCCTCTGCCTGACAGGCTGCAACCTAGGTCCCTGGTTAGCCTATGGATCTGTCTTTGAGTCACAGCCAATCAGCTGGGAACGGGGATATACACTGTAGCACGTGGCCGTCCAGCCCAGCCCTTTTGATCCTCTCCAGCCACCAGGAGACCTGCCCAGTATGGAAGATATTGTTTGAGTTAAGTCATGATGTTTGCTTGTCCTTGCTCTTGATGACAGAGAGGTCATGGATGTGCAGTCCATCAAGCTGGGTGGGGTCTGGCTGTCAGGCTGTTTATGGAGCAAACTCTCAACAGTGGTGAAATGGAAACTACTGAGCCCAGGGACCTGCTATGTTAACCCATCAGTCTAGGGATAATGATGTGGTACTATGGGATTTTAAAAAATTGGCTCTGTGTGGCTCTATTTCCACACTTGGACACTCCAGTCTTCCTCCTCTGCACATAGACTTAGGTGGGAGGTGCAGGGAGGGGAACAGAAGTGATTGGCTTCAACCCACACAAGAAGACCTGAATATGTGAACCCTGAAATTCAAGTCCCATATGCCCCCCATCTATCTTTCCAGTCTCATGTCCCAGTTCACCCTCCAAATAAACCTACTGTCCAACCACCGTCAAACTTGCCTTGTTTTTCTCTCGGCTCATACAATACCCTTCTCTTTAACTGCTACCCTTCCTCTAAAATCAGTTTGGTTTTTTTTTTAAGATTTTATTTATTTATTTGAGAGTGAGAGCTAAAGAGCACAAGCAGGGGGAGCAGCAGAGGGAGAAGGAGAAGCAGGCTCCCCACTGAGCAGGGAGCCCAATGCGGGGCTTGATCCCAGGACCCTGAGATCATGACCCGAGCCAAAGGCAGATGCCTAACCGGCTGAGCCACCCAGGCGCCCCTCTAAAATCAGTTAAAAAACCAGCACTTTAGGGGCGCCTGGGTGGCTCAGTCGGTTAAGCGTCTGCCTTCGGCTCAGATCATGATCCTGGGGTCCTGGGATCAAGCCCCGCATTGGGCTCTCTGCTCAGTGGGGAGCCTGCTTCTCCTTCTCCCTGTGCCTGCCTCTCTGCCTACTTATGCTCTCTCTGTCAAATAAATAAAATCTTTAGAATAAATAAAATAAAATAATTTAAAAAATGAAAACCACCACTTTTCAGAAAAGTTTTTTTTTCTGTCTGCTATGACCTGTGGTCATTTCTAGATCTTCCTCCTCTGAATTCTTCTACCCCTGCTCATGCTGAACACCTGGAGGGCATGAACATGTCTTACTCATTTTGGAATCCCAGAGCTTAGTGCCTGCCTAGAATATTGGAAGTGCTCACCAACAGTGTGTTTAATGAATTATCTGTAGCACCAGACATTTAAGGAAACTTTAACGAGATCCTCCGCTCTATTAGGCACAGTGGAGGAAAGTCCGTAATATACGATCTCTCCAGGAGTTTCCTTAGTTTGGTTGCCTGGGTTCATAGATGAGAAAATTGAGTCCCAGAGAGGAGAAATGATTTGCCTTCTGCCACCCAAACAGCCACTGTCGACCGAGCACTTTGCTATGTGCTAGACAAATGCCTTTCACTCTTTATCTCATTTTCATCCTTGTGACAACGCTAAGAAGGAAGACTTTGTACACCTACTTTTACAGAAGAGAAAACGGGGGCTTAAAGGGGTTGTAACCTGAGTAAGGCCACACTTCAAGGAGGTAGCCAGGCCAGGTTTGGAATCTGCAGTCTAACTCCTGAGTCCCTACTCTTGCCCCCTGTGCTGAGCTCCAAGCTAGGGAGTTAGCTCCCTGTGGTCCATGCATCTGTCTATTGCCCAGAGGCCTTCAACCTTTTCTGTGCTCCAGTGGCTGGGTTGACATAGGGTGATTACAGGGTCTTGGTGAATTTCTGTGCCAGGCAGCTCCTATGCACACAGGTCTAATGTTCTGATCATTAGGTCAGGGTATTTTTTCCCGCCTGGGCAGTTGCGTTAGTGGAAGAAACCTGATAAAATCCTGGAGAGGAACTTGATCATTCTCTGAAGAACTTACAAGTTGTTTGGCCTGCCTAATCTGCTCAGAAACCGTCTGGGGAATATTCGGTATCCATGTAGTACAGGTTGTGAATTACTCTGCGGAGACTGTTAACAAGACCCTCACCAACTCTGCCTCGCCAGTGTCAGACGGCCCTAGGACAGCCCCCTTTCTTCCCCTCCCACCAAAGCCCTGAAAAGAATAGGGTTTTCCCTCTTGGGGGCTGGGAGGAGTGAGAGATGGAAGGGAAATCCTCCTGCCTCCAAGCAGAGCTCACTATACACAGCTGGACCTGATCCCTCCTCGGAGCTATGGCCGTGGATACAATGACTTAGCTGGGATAACACTTAGCCAGCGTTTTGGCAACCTGGTATCTGAGCACCTAAACATGGAAAGAGGCCAACTCCCTAAAATCAGTGCAAGAATAATGACAAAGAGTTAGATCTGGAGGCACCTCAGGGATCATCTACCCCCTGGATTTAAAAAGATACTGAAGCTAAATTACTTGTCAAGGTCACACAGCTGCGGGTGATAGAGACTGAAAACCATGGTGCCTGAGTCTAAGCTCAAAGTTCTTTCTCCTTAAACTCCCACCCACCCACCTACACACCAACACACACAGCCTACCCTTTGCCATACCACCACACACAGGCACATGCACAACTAAGCCAACTAGGTCCTGTGTCCCTAAAGTCTTTGACTGTCCCTCCCCTGGGGAGAAGGGCACACAGAAGACATTCCCAGACATCCTGACCCGCACCAGCAGGAAAGTCTCAGGAGGGGTCCCTAGGTCTTCCTCTCAACTCTCCCTTCACTCCTCCAGAGAGGGAGCACCCAGATGACACCTGGCAAGCTGAGAGCTGCGGGGGAAGTACACGGGGCGGGTGCGGGGAACACGCAGGCCTGGGGCCAGGCCCAGCGGCTGCTGGCGGCCCCCCTGGGCGGGATGCTGAGAGCGCGGGCGTCTGGCGGCTCCCCCGGGCGACGCGCACCCACCACCTGCCCAGCTCTCCCGGCCTCCTGGGGCTCGGGAGGGCCCGGCTGGGGACCCTGACGGCCCGGCGTGGGCCCCGGGAGGAGGGGGCGCGGCGGGCACAGGGCAGAGGTCAGCGCCTCGGCCCGACTGGGCCCTAGCGAGGCCCCGGCGCCCTGTCCCTGGCGCACAGGTTTGGAAACAGGGCGGCCTCGCCCGGCCGCCGCCTCGGCGGCTCCGGTCCCCATATATAGTCATATCCACCGTCAACTGGGAGGCCGGCAGGCGGCAGCGAATGGGCGCGCGGCCCCCGCGGGAAGGAGCGGGGGGGGGGGAGGGGGCGGAGGGAGGAGGGGGGAAGGGGGCAGGAGAAAAAAGCTTTTCCAAAAAAGTATTGGCTGTCTCGAGGAATGCGGTCGCCCCCTTGGGAAAGTACATATCTGGGAGCAGCAGGCGGCTCCGCGCTCGCACTCCGGCTCGGCCGCCCCACCGCGCGCTCGCCTCGCCGCTCCCGCCGCAGCCCCAGGGCCCCTCGCCGCCGCCACCATGGACGCCATCAAGAAGAAGATGCAGATGCTCAAGCTCGACAAGGAGAACGCCTTGGATCGAGCCGAGCAGGCGGAAGCCGATAAGAAGGCGGCGGAGGACAGAAGCAAGCAGGTCTGCGCCTCCCCGGCCCTGCGCCCGCCCGGGTGCCCCCGAGCCCTGGGCGCCTGGCACCCCTTCCCGGCCGCTCACCCCGAGGACGGGGGCGAGCCGCCCCCCACTCCTGGGCCACCAGGGTCGCGCAACTGAGAAGGGAGAGGGGAAGAGCAAGACTCGGGCTTATTCTAACTTTTTGGTCTCGTCTGGGGACCTTTATTTCCCTCCTCTACTTCCCAGAGCCCGCGAAGTCAACTCAAGTCCTAGAGGCACTTGATTCTCAGGATCGGGGGTCAATGTTGGATGGGGGGGGGGATGGTTTGAGGGGAATCGAGTCCAGCAAGTGTTAGATATTCTTCTGGACTTTTGACTGGAAAGAATAAAACTGGGATAGAGACTGAGCGGGGGGCGGGGCGGGGGGAGGGCAGTCTTGAAGTTTTTTCCTAAGAACAAAGATGGGATAGAATAGAGAGTACGGCCCGAAGGCCAGGGAGACAGGGGCGTTTTTCTGCACCCCCAGTTGTGGACTTGAGCCCGCTGAGGCCTCGGCAGGAGCCTCGTCCCGCGGGAGGTGGGGGTGCAGGGTGGGCCACAGTGCGGTTCCAGCTTCGGGAGAGAAGAGGTTACCTAGAGACCCTTGAACCCCAAGTCGGCGGCGCCCCAAGCCGAGGGGCCCCAGCCAACCAGGCGCTCGTGTGTTGTGTGTGTGTCTAACACCCGGTCCGTGCCGGCCGCCCGCGCCCGCCCGCCCGCCGCTGCCCCCCAGCTCGAGGAGGACATCGCGGCGAAGGAGAAGCTGCTGCGGGCGTCGGAGGACGAGCGGGACCGGGTGCTGGAGGAGCTGCACAAGGCGGAGGACAGCCTCCTGGCCGCGGATGAGGCCGCCGCCAAGGTACCCGGGGCGCGCGGCGTGGCGCGGCGCACGAATGGCTAACTCTGTCTCTCTCTTTCTCTCTCCCTCCCTGTCTTTCCCTCTCTCTCTCTCCCGCTGTCCCTGTCCTTCTGGTTCTGTGCACCCACACCCCTCCCCTGCGGGATCACGCTGCCTGCTGCACCCCACCCCCACCCCTCCCCGTCCCCCACGGCCAACTCCCAGCTGGAAGATGAGCTGGTGTCGCTGCAAAAGAAACTCAAGGGCACTGAAGATGAACTGGACAAATACTCCGAGGCTCTCAAAGATGCCCAGGAGAAGTTGGAGCTGGCGGAGAAAAAGGCCACGGACGTAAGTGCACTCACACACCACCTCCCTCACCTCCTGCCCGGTGGCCACTCTGCCGTCACCACAGTGGCCAAGGAGCAATGGAGGAGGGTCACCTCCTCCTGCTGGACACCCGCACACAGCCCTGACATGGCCCAGAGCACTGGATGCTGCCTCAGACTTCTATTGCACACATTCATTTATATTTCATCCACTCCTCTTTTTCTCCTTCTTTCCCCCACTCCTGGGGGTGGAGGTGGGCGGGTGAAAAGCTGGGAGTGGAGTGGCTGAAATTGGATGCTGGAGGTGAACCTTGCCTCCCTGGTGGCAGAAAACCTCTGAGGTGTCATCACCAAGGTTTGTGCAAACAGAATGCCTGGTTTTCTTTACCTTCTTTCCTTTGCCACCTTAGGTGGGTGGGAATGCCTGGTTTTCCATGGTGAGTCTAATCAGGGTACAGAGGACCTGGCCTCTAAATTGAAGGAATGGCATGGTGCTTTTACTTAGAAGGCTGAGCTTGATGTTGGAGTGCAGAGACCCCTGAAGCTTCCTTTCTCACTAGGGAAGCCTTAATCCAGCCCTTAAGATCTGCCTGGGAAGATGATACTTGCTTGGGTCTGCAGTCTGACAGCACTAGATCCTGAAAGTACCCTGGGAGTTATATATAGCTCAGTGCTTTATATGGTATAGTGAGCTAACTGCCCCCTGCCCCTCCTGCTTGCCCCACCCCCACCTGTCAGCCTTCTGACAACCACCACATAGTTTCAGGGGTGATGCACATACTGCAAAAACTCTACCAGCACTTTGTCCACTGCACTTTGGAATCTTTTTCACTGAAGAGCCTGCCTCTTCTGCCCCATAAGTCAAGCCAAGCATCAGATTTCCAAAGGAACGACTTCTTTTCATACTGTTGGATTCCATTGTAGAAGCTCATTAAGGCTAGAGGCCCAATTAAGAAAGAATTCCTTGGGAAGTTAGTAACAATTCCAAGAATGTATGAGCACCGGGGAAAGCTGTGCCCAGAAGTTGAACTACCAAGCACAAAGGCAGAATTTCTTGTATGAGAGTACGATGCAAATTGCTGGAGGGTCTTGGGTCTTGAAACCAGTAAAGGCTTTTTGTGGCTTGAAAGGCTTAAAATGTAATCTCCAAGCATGCTTTGTAAATGAGAAATCCAGACATAGGACATTTAGAATAGACAAAAATATTTCAATGACCGTCAAGATTATTGGAAAGGGGTTCACAGAAGCACTGACTTAGCTAAAACATTAAAGTTACAAACTACCTGGCTTTAGAAAAAGAGCCAAAAACACACATAACTCTGCGCCTGCTTTGTATAATGTAGATCAGATGTCTGCTCCGTATAAGGTTAAATGGAGGATGTCTGTCTCCCCCAAATTCTCCAGCAGGACGTTTATTTAGCTTTTTCAAAAGAGCCGCTGATAGATCAAGGAGAGATATTCCTTATAAGGAAAAGAATGCAGAGAATTTGAAAATAGCCCAGTAAGACTGAAGGCAAGAGAAGGAGAAAAAAGCTACTACAATTCTTAAAGGGAAAAAAGATCATAATTATTGTAACTATGTAGTGCTATCATGTCCTTATGAAAAAGTCTTGTTTAAGGGAATGCTGGAATGAGGTGGGGCAGAAGTGGAAATGAGGATATTTAAAGCCACCTTGGTGGGGGCGTGGTTAGCAGGGGAGGGAAATTTTTGAAACTGTTTTGGTTCTTTTTTTTCCTACCGGAAAACTGTCCCTAATATGTTACTTTTCGTTTTGTTTCATTTTTTCTTTCTTTCTTTTTTGTAGTATATTGATCGTCTTCCCTTTTAAGACATTTTAGGTTGTTTGGAACCTATAGGGATGTTGAAGAACATTTGCGAAGAATTGCTATATTTAAAGTGATTCCTAACTAGTAAAAATAGCCAAGACTTAAGGAGAAAGAGACTGATATCACTAGAGAAAGAGGGAGGTAGGTCAGCTTCCTGAGGTAGCTTCATACTACATTTGGAATGAGGATACTTTACTGTCATTACTCACCAGTGTAAAAACATTTTCATTTTTTCCTACTACTAAAAACGTTTTTCTGCTTATTTACCAACATACTTTACAAATCTTATTCCAGAAGGAGGGGGTCTTCCTAGCTTGAAAGATTGTAATTCACAAGGTAGCACCCTGGTGGTTTTGGTGTGAAATTTTTGGTGTTCCACCTAAATGAGCCTGAAGGGGATCAAAGGCTCCATTTTCTCTCTGGCCCTCCACTCCTTCCCCAATAATTGTGATGTATCTAATATTTGCAGTATGTGAGTCTTTATTCCTTGTAGGTCTTTGCTCCCTAAATCAGTAATTCTCAACCTTACGTAAACAGAATCTCCTAGGGAGGTTTTAAAACCTCCTTTTAAATCCAGGCTGCACCCCAGGTCAATTAAATCAGAACCTCTGGGAGTGGAACCCACGCATTAGTATTTTTTAAATGTGAAGCCAAGGTTGAGAACTGCCCTAAACTCTTGTATAATGACATCAGCATGAAAATGAACTCACCTGAAACTGTCTTTCCCAGGTGTTTGAAAAGCAGGACGTTAAGTCATTAGTTGGCTGCCAAGAGCACTTGCAAGTGTCCAGCAGTTTCCCTGGCTCCTCCTGGAGGCCCCCAGACGCCCCCTTCCTCCACCTTCAAAGTTGGAGGCCCACAGTCTGTACTCCTCTAGGGGAGGAGTTGTAACCTCCCTCCTGACCAGATGAACTGTGTGGAAACAAAGCCAGAGGCTCCACCTACAGGACGTGAGGGCACATGCTGAGGTTTGTGAGAGTCTCAGCGGAGACTGCGACAAAGTCCAAAGAAAATGAGTGGGGGAAAGCAAAGGAGGAGGGTCGTTGTTAGGGCTTTGGAGGGGGGGGGGGTATCAAGTATATTTTTTATCCTTCATTATTCCCACACTTAAACACATCAGAAATTGACTTGAAGGGCCTCCTGTGCGAAAGGTGAGGAAGAGAGCCGTGAGACTTAAAAGGCATTTAAAAATGGAGCCCAGTGGGAGAATTGGCAGAGGACGGTTCCCAGAGATTGGGTTTTCATCCAACTGTAGCCAGAGGCTCTCAGAGGGTTCTGTAGCCTTCACGGCTGTGCCTTTTTAAAGGCATCTCAGTCCAGCCCAGAATTGGTCAGATTCCAGAAGATCTCTGAGGCTGATCTAAAACCAGAGAAGTTTGTAAGTATAAGGGACCCTCGAGATGATTGTTTTTATGGAAAGGAAAGTGAGCCCCAAAGAGGCTCGGGGCCCTGAGAACACAGCTGGTTATGCGCCCCCGCCTGACTCTTAAGACAGTGCCTGCATCTATATCACTAAAGCGATCATTTAACTATGTACAATGTATTGTGCTAAGTGCTTTATATGATTTCATAATCCTCGCCACAGCCCTATGAGGAAAGTACTACTATTAACCCCACTTTTATAGATGAAGCCCATAAAAGTCCAGTTATTTGACCAAAGTCAACAGCCAGGAGAGATCTAGGAGCCGGATTCTAACCTAGGAAAGCTGCATTTAGAAGGTTTAATCACAATGCAATATGTTAGCGGCTTCCACTTCGCGAGTTTGGTGAGGGAGGAAGGTTGTGGTGGTTAGGCTCTTGAGTGCTGGGGTTCTTTAGGTCCCTCTGGGGACACATTCAGGCCCCAAACCCCTCGCTCAGCTTCTCTCCTCCGGCTTGGGAATCCAGAACTCCCGAGTGCGATGATCCCGCCGCCAGTAGGCGGCACCGTCGCCCTTAACAGCCAGGTCCGTTACCCTGGGTCAACGTGGAGCCAGGGAGGGGCGCTGGGAGTCCAAGTAAAATCCCTGGCACGCTGGCCTGCCACCCGGCCGTGCCCAGCTCTCCAGGTGTCCCTCAGCGCGCCCACCGCCTCCACCCGCCCGGATGCCGCGAGCATGCGCAGTATCTCCCCGGTTTGCAAATTCCCGGGGTCCGCGG